AGAACATAATCACCCTTCTCACTTTAGTTTCCAGAATCTCCACTTTGTAAGGATGGTATCACATCAAAGAATGACCATTTTTAAATCTCATTACCATTTTAGACACTGACCTAGATTAAGGTACCTTTTTAAGTTCCTGACAATGAACTATCTTCGGATTCTGTTTGGTCACTTTGGCTCTCTTAGTTTTGCTTTGTCCAAATTCCTAGAGAATAAAAGATAAAGGGAAAACCACAAAATTGATGTACTAGTATTTATAACCTGTATTGTCACATTTTCCATAGCTGATTAGGGGCCTGGAAGCCATTTTTTATTTAGGAGTCTGAACCCAGCTTTATTCCAAGAGGTTCTGGGGATTGTACCCAGCCCCTCATGAGCTATATCCCTTACACCGACCTACATCCAGTTTTTTAAAAAAGCTGTCTAAGTCGTTCAGCCTGGGCTTGAAACTGTGATACTTCTGCCTCAGCCTCCCGGAGTGCTGAGATTACAGATATGCACCACACTCCCCAGCTGTCTCTCATCTTGAAAGAGCTGAACTCCTACCTCCACAGATTCAAAGTTAGATGGCTCATCAGCAAGGTTAGTTTCAAGTTTTCTTTTCTTGTCTGGTTCCTTCTGCCTGTCAAGTTTCTGCTGCTGTTTTAATTCTTCAAGCTGTACCCATAAAAGAAAGGAATTAGCCAGTGACTGATACTGTTGTTTAAAAACAAAACAAACAAAAAACGTACCCACACCATACCTCACATCGAAGTTTTGGCCCACTCACCTGCTGTTTTCTTAGCTCAGCTTCTCGAAGAAGAGCCTCCTTAAAGGGAGCACTGTTTGGAATTCCTGGGTCTTTCCTAGACTTCTTGTGACCCCGCTTTTTGGCCTCCTTCCTCAATTTTCGATGGTGCTCTCGAATCTTTTTGAAGGGAAAAATAAAACCAACTGCATTTCTTTAAAAAATACTTTTCTACTTAGAATTTAAGTGAGAAACAATCTAGCTACAGTTATGTCTGTAAAATGTCCTACAAAAGGTCAGGTGGGGTGGCACATGCCTGTAATCCCAGCACTATGATGCTGAGGCAACAGGATCGCTTTGAGTGTGAGGCCAGTATGGTTTACATAGGGAGTTCAATACCAGCCTGAACTACATACTGAGACTATGTCTCAAAAAAGAAAAAAGTTCCATAAATACGAAAGTTTAACTGGAGTCATATGGAGAGAGTATGTATGTGTATATATAAAACAGTAAAAAATATCACTCTCTACAGAAATGATGTGTTTTTCTTTTTTGAGGCAGGGTATCACTACATAGTTCACGCTGGCTTGAACTGCAGAGATCACCCTGCCTCAACCTCCCACATGCTGGGATTACAGGCATGTGCCACAACATCGGCTTACAAAAATTATTTTTATAGACTGTTACTTCTCCACAGCTGCACTCTTGATACCCATGATCTACTCAATCTCTAAATTATTAATCCAGACTTCCAGTAAAAAAGGGACGGAGCAGAAATCCACTTAGCAATGTATTTGGTATAGGTATCTCAGGAAAAAAAGACTTACCTTTTTCTGGATTTTATACCGTTTATGGCAGGTCATGCGTTTACTCGCTTTCTTTAACTCTACAAAGACAAGAGATTTAGGATGGAGCCGGCTCTCTCTGCCTACTCTTTTCATACTGGAATGAGATGATACACAGAAGCCAATCTCTACAGCGACAACCACTCTGGGTTAATGAGGCCCACTGGCAGCTCTTTTAGTGGCTTGTTCCGCATTCTACAAAACGTCTTTCTTTTTCTACTTTCAAACTGATCCACTTACCTGAAAAACTATTTCTCTTCCTAATGTTAATAAATGTAAAACCCCGCTTTAAAACGAAACAAAAAACACCTTTCACTAGAGCAGAGGTCGAACGCCTTTGGGAGGTGGTTCTCGCCTAACGCAGAAAGGAAACACTGGCCCTGAAACCGGGCTCAGACGCTGACTCCCCACGAAAATCTGGGCTGACGTTCTCCATCTTTGGGGAAGGCCCTTGTTTTGCACGAATCCCGGTTAACAGTCTACGCAGGGCCTGCCCACCCTGCTCCACGCGGGTGCCGGGCGCTGCCTACCCACGGTTCCCTCCCCGATCTGCGCAGACAGCAAGGGGCGGGAGAGCAAACACCAGAGACAAGGCCTCTCCACCGCCGCCCCACAACCCCACTCACTCGGCCGTTTCATGCTGGCTGTGCAAACCGAAGTCGCAGAACAGCGGGAACAAGGTGACTCCGCGGACGCCACGTGCCAACTGAGGTCCCGGACGAATACCACGTACTCACGCCGCTGCTGTAAAGCACGTCGCCGTCTTTCCGCGTGCGCGCGCACGCAGTGTCGCGCAGTGTCGGGATCGCTTGGCGGCCGCGGGCTGGTTTTACGGCGGCACTGGGAGGGGTGAGGGCGGTGAGGGCGGTGAGGGCGGCGGTGCTGGAGCGACGGCAGCGGCCGCGGCCGGAGGAGCAATAGCAGCAGCCGTGGCGGCTACGGGGCGGGGCGCAGCGGTCGGCGACCGCGGC